GTGGAAGTAGCCTGCCACCTTCCTGCATTTGGAAATAAGCTTGCTGGTGGTGCTGGTGCCGTCACCGGCAACCCTGCCCCCCTCCAAGGCATCCCTGACAATGAGGTACAGCTTGTGTGCCACACAGCAGATGCCAACAAAGTTGGCATCATGGACCACCTTGACCATATTGGCCCCGTTGTCAGTGACCATGAACCCACAGGTGAGCTCGCCCTGCCCAGCGAGCCACCCCTACACCAAGCAGCTCATGGCCCCCATGATCTCTGTTGCTGTGTGGGACTCATCCATCACCTCGGCTTGAAGGCAAACCCACCAATGGCCTGACTGGTTGCACCAGTGCCCTGTGAGGGAGAGGTATGCATGATCTCCACCCCAGCTGCTCTAGATGTCTAAGGTAAAGTATAAAGCCACCTGCGGTCCTGCCTTGCACAGCTCCTCTCTCAAGTACTCCCTGTATGCCTCATACAGGGAGGGCACCACCAAACTGCTAAAGGTGGTGCATGTGGGCACTTTGTATAATGGGGCCACGAGCACCATGAGCTGTCTGAACCCTGGCCACTCAACAAAGGAGAAGGGCTGGCCATCCACAGCAAGCATCTCCCCAGCGCTCTGGGTGACCTTGCTTGCCTTGGGAAGGCGCCCCCCTGTGTGCCCACCTTTCCCCGACTGTTCCAGGGTGGCCTGCCTCTGCTTCGGGGGACCATGGCTTTCAAGCGAGAGGGGGACTTCTTTTTGGGCATGCTCCCACCGGTGCCAGGCTGAGGAGGAGCAGGGGCAAAGGGGTGGATGCATCAGCATGCCTGTGATGCTCGTGTGTTTTGTTCCCTTGCCCCAGCTGGTTTGGGCTCGGCAGTGCAGGCAGATAGCGTACATAGTATCATCTGCCAGCTCAAAATGATCCCAGACCACATTACCCGCTTGCTTCTGGGGTGCAGGAGGGGATCCTGAATTATCTCCATCCTCAGCAGGCAGAGGCACAACAGCAGGAGGAGCTGAGCCAGCTGCACCCAAAGCCTCCTCCACAGCCCCTTCCGGGGAAGGAGACCTGGCTCCAGGGGAACTTTGGAGCGTGTGGAGCACAAACTCTGCTTTCCCCCTCCTGCCCCAGAATTTCTTGTGCTATCAAGCTGAGGTCCTGTACTTCAAGAATGAGCTCCTCTAAGACAGGGAGTGGGAGGCTTATGCTGGGACCTGCAATTGGGGTGGAGGAGACTGCTGCTGGTGCTGTTTGTTGTCATGCTGCTGGTGCTGGGGTTTATTTTTACTGGAGTCGAGCTGGTGTCGAGGGGGTGCAGCTGCAGGCTCTGCTGTGGCCTCCTTGCTCTCAGTGCGAGCAGAAGCCTTGTGGCTGGTTGAAAAGAGGCTGCATCTCAGCTTGGGCAGCAGGGAACTGACACCTCTCCCTCAGCCTCCTCTTGCTCCCCTCCCAGACTTGGCAGCACCGGCCTTTCCAGCACGCTTCATGTTTTCCTGTGCTGGAAAAGGTGTCTGGTTGTGTGTAATGTGTGTATATGTAGGTGTCTGTGTGTGCAATCTATCTAATCTATGCTGTGCTTTCCTGAACAGTGCCCTGCGATCACACCGTCAGGCAAAACACAGATTTCTTTTTCTTCAGGTAAAAAAACAAAAAATAATTTCAAACGAATGGATATAGGGAAAAAAAGAAATGATATAGGGATAACAATACTAGTATTGAAGTTAGGCTACTATAGCTAAGCTGTGAGTGTAAGCTGTATCCTATCCAATCATTTGCAAATAGAAGACACTCCCTAGCTAGACACTAGCAGCTAGGAAGCAGTCAGAGTCAGTGCCTTTCAGATGCTGCTTTCTGGCTCATTTCCAAATGCAGGAAGGTGGCAGACTGGAACATTAAGGGACCAGAATAGCCCCTGAAGCCAGCGGAGGGTTGGAGCTATAGGTGACGACTGGGCCCTATCAGCATCGGCAGGCAGGTGTCCTGCAGCATGGACCCAAGCCCCGAACCGCAGGTGACAGCTCAGGCATCCACCCCCCAGCAGGGAGGCTGGGAACGCAGCACGCAGGCGGTGTGCAGCCCGGGACCACAGGTAGTGGCTTCACTCTGGCGTGCAGGGCGGCACACAGGGAATCCCTGGCCGGGAACCCGCAGGTGGCAGCCCCCCTCCAGCGTGCAGGGAAGTCCCAGCGGGAAAAACCCCAGCCTTGCCTTGGAGTACAGACCACACGGGGGAGTCCTGCAGTGACTAGAGACTAGCGGCAGACAACAGCCCAGGCCTGGCTAGCTCAGTGGCAGAGGTTTTGTCCACCACACCGGAAAGCAGAATTTGATCCTTGGCTAAAGCATTTCACAGGTGAGCCGAGGTGAATGAGGGAATCCTTTTTGGGGCGGAGGGTTCCTCATCATTCACGCCCCCCCCCACCCCACACACACACACACACACCTCCGGGGTGCCTGCATCTCAGATGTTGTCATCCCAACATCTCAGATTTTGTTAACCTGCATCTTATAGTTTGTTAACCTATCTCTTGTCAATTGAATGAGTACACCTAACGATTACCGAGTGCTCTAGTGCCCCCTGGGTACTGAAGTATACCCTATACCCTCCTGGTATCTGTGTTATGTCCCAAACCCTGTCCCCCTTATTAAAGGGTATGTGGTTAGGTTCCCATTGGTGTTCTGTCTCTGCTCTATAGGGAAATTAGGGCTTACATACCTCCCACAGCACTTCTACACCCGCTCTGATCCCTTCAGTTGGAGAGGGGGTATGTCCCAGAGTACCACCTGGGTTACACATACAAGACCTTTTTGGGAGGCTTTCAGGCAAAAGCTGGCTCCAAACAATGGAAATATCTAACCAAGCAGTAGGTGGGAGCAGTAAGGAGGGATTCCTATCAGCATTTAGAAAACCACTACGGAAGCTGTTACTGTGCCCTGCATAGACGCCCCAAGCACTTTCCCTTTCTCCCAGTGCCAGGCCTGGCCATAAAAAAGAAAAGGAAGAAAGAACAGCATTCCCCACTGCTTGTTTTCCGTATAATACAGAGTTTTCAGCAAGGTGGGGATCGATCCGGAGAGGTTCACACGCCGTGGTTCCCGTAAAGATGGAAAGGAAAACAATGAAAAGTATGAACAAAGATCATTTCAGAATGAATCAACTGAAAAGTAGAATTGATCCCTTGGAGAGCAGCAGGTTTGTGTCTCACTTCCCCATTGCCCAGTGTCACCGTGTCGAGCATTGCTGTCACTATCCCATGCCTGGCAGTAATAGTCAGCCTCGTCCTGGGCTTGGATGTCAGTGATGGTCAATGTGGCCGTGCTCTCTGATTTGGAGCCAGAGAACCGGTCAGCAATGCCAGAGGGTCTTTTGCTATTTTCGTATATAATCTGGACAGGGGCACTGCCAGGCTTCTGTTGAAACCACTGCACACCATGGCTAGCAACATTTCTTCCTGTGCAGGTGAGTTTGGCAGTTTCCCCTGAAGGGATGGACACTGAAGGTGGCTGAGTCATCACATACTGGGCAAGACAACCTGGAACAGAAAGACAAAATGCGTGGGTAGAAAGACTCATTCTTGGTTAAGGCCCCATTAGCAACATCTGCTGGCAGACAGAAGGGGGTAAAAAAACCTGTAGCACCTGAGAAGTATAGGACTGGCACGAGAAAGAGCGGGGCCCAGGCCATGGTGGGAAACCCAAGCAGCTCGGCTTCCTGAGAGGAAGAGTCCTCTGGCCAGAACCCTCCGCACCCCTCTTAAAGCCCCAAACCTAAGAGTGGCCCCTTCATGCAAATGGGCTTCCT